TGGGGAGGGGGCCGCGGAGCCGGAGCGCGAGCAAAACAGCTGATCTGGTTTTCCTTTAAAGCTAGAGAAAATGGAAGTCGGGTAGAGGCGACTGCGGCGCTGCGGGCTGACCGAGCGGAGCGGCGCGGCGCGGCAGGTGAGACGGCGCTGGCCGCGGTGCTGCCGGCTGGCGGCGGAGCCGGGCCCGCAGACTAGGCAGGTGCGCTGTCCGCGCGCCGGCGCGGGTTCCCTCCTGGGCCCCGCGGTGAGCCAGGTGGGCGCTGAGGCCGGTGGTCGCGGGGCCAGAGTGCGGGACGCTGGGGGCGCGGGCCCCGTGCTGGGTTTGCCAGCGCGTCTGCATTGCGGGCTCGCCCGGCGCCGCGCGTGTCTCTCGGGCAGGGCGCGGCGCTCCTACTGGGTCGGGGCAGTTCTCTTCTCCTGGCCCTTTCACCTTCTGCACTGGAACGTGTTGTCAGGCTTGGGCGGACCGACCCCTCCGTCCGTGTGGACGCGTCGGGGGTCCTGCGGTGCCGACCGACGCTCGGGTAGGGCCGGGCCAGAACAGCGCGCGAGGCCGCTAGACCGGCACCAAGGCTGTGGTTGCGTGGGCCACAGCTTACTCGCTGTCTTCAAGCTGGACAGCAGTCGAACCATTGATGCAGTTTGTCTGTGAACCCGGAGGCCTTCCCTAGTATCTCCTCACTGGAGGGGAAAAAATTGCATCTGCTGTGCTTTAAGTGCTCCTTTAAATTTGGGAGATGTCAGTGATGTCATCATTAACTAAAACTTTCCTTCATTGGACACAACCGTTCAAGTGTACCCTCCTCCTGCCTGGTGCAAGCTATTGCAGCCCTTTGAGGATCCTTGCAATGAAGCAGATTTGCCTCTGTTCTGTTAACTCAAAACATCACAGTTTTTATTTTTATCTATTGGCTTGAAAATTAATAGATAGATTTAGAGTGGCTGAAGGGAAACTTGTTAGATTCCAACAGATCTGGGAATGACTTCCTCCACAGCACACAGATATAGGGGAAAGTCATGTATGACAGGACATGCTTGTGCTTGCCTTTATTTTTGTAAATGAACGTGAGCTGTGAGAGGAACAATTTTAAAAGGTATTCTGTTTAATGAAACAGATTATGTGTCCAGGTAAAGGTGGACGTTGGGGCCTAAATTTTTGCAGGCCTCGATTCCTTGGGGAAAATCTGCAGATCTTCTCCATCCCTCCCTATCAGGGTGTGTCTGGAAAAGAGCTGCCCTGGAGCAAAGAGTGCCAGCCTCACTAGGGTCCTCCTAGCAGCTATGTGTTCCTGCGAGCTCCAAGACCTCTTCTACATCCAGAGAGGGTCCAGGGACTGCAGAGACTGGCGATCTGTATGGCACACCAAGTTCTGGGGAAAATTCCTCCCTAAATGCCAGCAATACACCATCATTTTATTGGGGAAGTTCCCAGGGAACAACTCCTGTGGGAATAAAAGTAAGCAAGTTCCCAGGACAATCTAAACGTCTACTTAATACAATTGTATCAAAAGGATATCCAATAAGGGACAAAAGTATTAACATTTTTACATTTAATAATTAATGGCAGATCCTAATTGGTTAAAACAAGGATGGCTTAAATTATTAGTGTGCTCATATTGGGTCTGCAAGGAATTTAATACCATATGCCACTCATGCACAAAAGTGTTTGAAGCTGATTACAAACATGAAGCTTTTGAACCCTGGATCGATGTGGTGGGGACATTGAAAGCAGTGGTTTACTTTAGGCCCTACATATTTGGGGTAACAGTGGGGGGAAATTTTTGCTTTCTTGCTAGATGCAGTCTCACTGAAGTCTGGATCCTGAGTGGCAGGTGTTCCCTTAGTAATTCGTGAGGCCTTAGCCCTAGTAGAGGAAGAGAAGGGCACCTTCTTCTGAGTGAACACCTTTGTTTATGCCTGAGTGAGGGTCTTGTAAGCCTTGTAGTAGAATTGGTTCCAAATGAACTGCTTTTCCACAGTTTTTCTCCTGCTGCACGTAGTTGCTTTAGAACTTGAGCTTTTAAGACTGCATTTCTTCTGTAATTAAAGTGTCCTGAATTGTGAGAAGGGTGGTTTGTAGGACTCTGAACAGTGAATTCTTAAAAAATTGAGTCTGTGAAACCAGTGTGTCCCATCAATTTATTTTTTCCCATCTGTAAACCTGTGAAAATATTCACCATAGGCTTTATTTTTAATTCACTGTAGTACTTGTGAAAATATAAATGTGTTTCTACTAAATCTTTAGTCACTTATTTCCGAAAACACTTTAAAAACAATAACTTGAAAGCCTCTTCATCTTACTTTTATGTGTAGGGTATCATGTCTTCCATTTCTAAGAAGCTAAGATTGTCTTGCCTCCCCCCCCCCATTCCTTCTGGATCTTAAGGTCATTTATCATGTGTTAGGCACACAGAATAAAGGCTGAGTCAGCTCCTGCCAGGCCAGCAGGGGGCATGCTAAACATGGTTTGGAGGGTCTTTACCCAGCTGCCTGGAGAGAGGATTGCCAAGTTGATGGGAGGGAGGTTCAAAGGTTCATGTGTGTGTACACATGTGTGCATTTTTGTGTATGTCTGTGTATACTGTACCCTCTCAACTTCCCCATCCCCTCCTGTCTGCTCAAGGGATGGACACTAAAGGGTAGGGCAGGGAGGCACATTCTTGAATGACCAGAGGTTGGGGCATCTGGAAGTTGCGCCTACCTCTATCAGACAGAGAGATTGCTTTAATAATAGCAATCTCTTGTTCTTGGAGAGTGGCTATTGGTTCTTAGCCCAAGGTTTGATAATTCCCATTTACATGTGAACCCTGTGAAGAACATTAGGAGGAGAGAAAAAACTTTGGTTTAAGTAATACAATCAGACTGCAATAATCTGAGTCTGAGGATATAGTACCTTTTCAGGTTGTGAAGGCAAAAATGTTGTCTTGGAGAGGAGAGAGTTTTCCTTAGGGAACTGCAGGCCTGCATCCTGGTGAGCACACACCCGTGCCAACCAGGGTAACCCACGGAAATACCTCCCCCTTTAATGTTCACCCTTGGATTTTACTCCTAATTGACTTAAACCCTGAACCCTTGAGTTGTGGTACTTCCCAGGGAGCTCTACTCATCCTCCTTGACCTCAAGATTTCTCTGTTGGAAAAAAGCAAATGTTTAATTGATGAACATTTATTTCCCCCCAGAAAATGATAACAGAAGAACAGAGGCAACTGTGCTTTTCATTCGAATGTGCTTAATCTGACTGTAAGTGTGTGTTGAGGCTTTTCTTTGCAGGGACTGAGCTCAGAAAGGCCAGCTCCTGCTTGAGGGTCACCTTAGTGAGCTGCTGTGGCCGTCTCTCACAGCTTAGATGATTATCTCAGAGTCTGGTTGTATTACTAAGATCAAATACTCGTCTCTCCTCCTGAGGTTCTCCATGGAGCCCACACGTAAAAGGAAACCATCACATCTTGAGAGAAAAGAGGGCCTACTAGAGAATTATTCAGACTAGGCATTTCCTTATGCTTCTTATTCCTTTGAAAGTACCTGAAAAACCAAATTATTGATTTCAAGGGGCAGTTGGCAAATACATGTTTTTTAGCATTGTGCTGAACCAGGTTTGTCACTTTGAATACTATAAATAGCTAAGGAGGAAGTGCCACTAGGTACAAAAACAGGTGTCACCAAATCCCTTTACTAGCTGTCCATCACTGAGGGTGATCACAGAATATCCTATTCAAAGTAAATCCTGAAGTCCATAGGTATTTAAGTGGAAATAAAACATGCATGTTCATTTTATGATATATTTAATTTGAAAATACCCTTGAACCTTGAAAAGAGAAAATTGCCCATTGGCAGACTGCTGCATCCTCTAGGTAGTTTGTGTGTCAGATCAAGAATAATATGGTCTTAACATGGATGTGACAGAACAGTGCAGAACAGAACTTTTACCACACTTTTGGGATGGAGTTCTTTATCATTCATGATAACAGGAGCAGTGAGTTAAAAGGAAGTCTTTAAAATACTGAAATCCAGGGAAAGGCTGGACACTGCCTTTTTACTTGCCTGTGCTATGGAGATGCGTTTAGCTGGCTGACTTTCACACAGTGTATTTGGACTGGCAAGGGAGTTAAACCTAGGTTTGGAAGGTGTGAAGGCATTGCCTGGCCATACTCCAGTTTCCTTGTAGCAAAGGAAGAGAGTTAGCCCCCCATATCTCCAAGGTCTTATCTGGTAAAATCCTGTAAATCCCCAAACACCAGTCCTTGATATTACATTTTCCTGCTATATGCCAAAGACAAATAACATTAATGATTATGCAAGTTTTACATACATCTTTTTTAGTTTAAACAAATAAGTCTAAAGTAAACTCATCTTGTAGGTTTAAAGGATTTTGAGTTTTTCCTCCAAAGGATATATTTTCAGTTTAAGCGTAGTTTGTTCTTACCTAGTTTTCCTTACAAATATGATGGAAATTTGATGTCTGAATTAATATACATGAGTGAGATGCTAGACTGAGTTATGAAATATAAAATTAGGCCTTTGCAATTCGTTTCCTTGTCTGTTCAGCATTTCTTTCAATTGTATTAGCTTACTGAAGCATTTCATGTGGTGCTGGACCCCACGCCCAGCCCTTTGTGAGATCAGATTCAGTTTCTCAGTCATTGAAACAAGCATTTAGGAGCTTATTTGAGAGGAGGTGGCTGTGTGAACTGGGGACAGACATCTGTTCCTGGTGCTGTCCCTGCCAGGTTGAGCCTTGCTACCTCTGAGAAGACCCTGGTTCTGCTGTACCCAGAGCTGACATAACAATCCCAGAATAATTTGTCCACCTCATTTCTGTGCTTGGGTTTTAGGAATTGCCTACAGCAGACTCTGCTGGTTCTTGCAGCAAGCTCAGGGATGGCCTTGTATGTCTTGTGCAGAAGACACTGTCCCATAGCATTGTCCCTGACGTGACATGCCCTTCTCCCCTAGTTTCTCCTATTTCCACCCCAGAAGCTGATCCAATACCCTTTTATTTTGGGGTTTCATGCAGTTAACCATGATTACAATCAGTTTCCCTATTATTCCTTTAATGATTTGAGACCTGAAGACAATGTTTATTTGTCTTGGTTTGTTTTCTGTTGCTGTAATGAAATATCCAAAGCTGGGCAATTT